TATTACGGCAAACGACACCAATCCAGGGCAGGGGAGAGAGAACACCATCTTGCGGAGTGCCCCTATTTATTCTGCGCTGAGTGCAGGCGCTCCCACACTCCTCCGCGGCAGATCTGTCGCGAAGTAAACTGTAGATAAGCCTGATTAGGTTGGTATAGGTCTATCAGGCTCTTTAGCGTTTTTAGCAAAAGCAAAGACAGACTGATAGGCCTAAAATCCCTAGGGGAAACATGAGACTCTTTTCCCACTTTCGGGACGAACGCAGCACTGACTACTCTCCAAGCCTTGAGGAAGAAGTACCCGGTCCTTCGCAAAAATAGGGGCCAACCAATGGCAGGATACCTCCAGAGCCATTTGCAGCTGCGCAGGTTTGAGACGATCGGTCCCCAGCGGCACGAAGGGTTTCCACGAATGTATCGCCCAGGCCATGTGACGATCGTCTAGAAGATCAGAGAAGTACAGTACCTGATGTACAAAATATTGCACAAGTACATTTGACTGTACTGCGAAGTACGAAGTGCAAGGTCTAAAAAAGAAGTACTGTACTTCCAAAAGAAGTTCGGTTGGTCACATTACGTATACTAAATTTTATTTTATACTGGTTCAGTTAATACTAGATATGTACACAAGGGGCGTAATATAACATAAAAACTATTTATTAATATTTATTGCGATGGTTAGTCCTTATAGCTTCACATGTATAACAACTACATTTTTGTTTTTAAATTCATATACATACAAGCATACATACTTCTTACATATGTACACTAGACTGTATCACCAAAAAATGTTGCGGTTTTTCCGCCAGGATTACAAAATTTATTATATTTTAAGACGTCCACCAAAATATTTCGGAAAAATATTAAGATTTAAGTGAGCTGGACCGATTTGAAAATACCTCCAAAAATGGAGTTTTATAGGAATAAAAATAGTTTCTTAAAGAACTTTTTGAAAAAAGTCCCTTCAGATGACAAAACAGATTAAGCTTAAAAAATCTGCATAAAAATGTTTAAAAATATTTTCAACGGAATCGTAAGAATGAGATTTTTGATGGTGTTTTTTACTTTTTTCAAAAATTGATTCACGAAAAACTTGAATAACTGGGCAAAACCTAATCTGATTTAGACTTATGGGATCTCAGTAGAAAGGTATTTTCACACTGTTTTTATTTCTGTCCAAAAAAAAAGTCATTTGTGTCCCAATTTTTTTTTTTTCAAATACCAAAATATCTTAATTTAACTTTGAATGACGTTTTCATCGTACTTTTCTCTTTCATCCTTTGAATGAGTTTATTAGCAAAGAAATAAAAAGGGTACCTTTCCAATGACACCTCTTAAGTCTAAAACGGAAGAGTTTAGGTTCAGTTATTCAAGTTTTTTTTTTTTTAATAGTTTTATGCAAATTTATTAAGCTCAAACCGTTTGGCCATTTGAGGAGATTTTTTCAATAAAAATCTTTAAGAAACTCTTTTTATTCATAAAAAACTCCATTTTTGGAGTTTTTTTCAAATCGGTCCAGCTCACTTAAATCTTAATATTTTTCCGAAATATTTTGATGGACGTCTTAAAATATAATAGATTTTATAATTCCAATGGAAAAATAGTACCGATTTTTTTTTTGTTGGGGACTGATGCAGTGTAATATACACGCGTAGAACTCATTTCGGCCTCATATATTCTGAACCCTCGGAATGCTTTTGCGGGTCCCCTGCACAATTTTTCACGGGAAATTTTCATTCTGTATTAGCTTATACATCTTCGCTCTTAATATTTGTTCACACTGACAAGGAATACCAATACCCTATCTAATCAGCTCCAGACATCACTTTCTTTTATGTGGGTGTCTACGTTTGCAAAAATTTCCTAATGAAATCATATCTATCTCAGTCTTAATCAGATTTTAAAGATAATCTACCTAGTAAATAGCGGATTATGCATTGCACTATCTACACTGAGAAAAAATCAACCGAAAATTGGTTAATATTACCAAATTCAAACTTGAAATTGAATCAAGGTGATTTTTGTTTGACATTAACAATGCCAATTTGACATTTTCAACAATGAGTAGGTAATATTAAACTCACTCTTGTTTACGTTAAACAAATTTTTGGTTGCCTATTTTTTCGTTTGAATACCCTTATGTTGTGCATTTCACAGATACTTTTTCATAATTCGGAGATACAAGACAAAAATTTGTATTGTCATTATAACACGTTGGCTCTGATGGGATTTGAATTCGCATCATCTGAAAGTTAACAAATAACAGCAAGCACCTCTAAAAACTTAGCTACAGCTGTTCAGTAAACTTACCGTCAAATGTTGAGCTTGAATAAGTTTTCTTCGTCGTTTGACCGTATTCTGCACTTCACAGATGCTTTTTCGTAATAAAGAGAATCAAGAAACAAAAAAATATTGCATGCCGTCTCTGACGGCATTCGAGTCCGAACCTGCAAATATGTGCCTTATGAATAAAAACTAGGAAATTGCTTTTTCTTAAAATTTTAGACCTTTTACTCGATTGATTCAAAGAAATTTAGGAAAAAGGTCTGAAATTTTAAGAAAAAGAAATTGCTTAGTTTTTTTTGCATAAGGCCCAATAACTTAGTTGAAAAAACATTGTAATTTTAGCTCAGTGTAATAAACCTTAAAATAATTCACATACACTTGTGGTTCGCTAATTAAGTTAAGTGACATTTTGGCCAGTTTGGTCTGTTCTTATTTTTTTATTTAATGTTTAATTTTTTTATAAAAATCTAGCATATTACATAAAGAGCGCCACATAAATCCATATTTCAAACTTCGTCCGAGAGCTCCGAGAAATAATTTAGAGTTACCTTAATTCGCAAAGGCCCTAAGCAACAATTTTTCAAACCTGCGCTTTTCACAGATTTTGGTAGGATATATTAAAATACTCCTTCACTCAAAATTTTAGTCTCATAAACGTTATATGCCTCTTTTTAAAAAGCCCCATTTGTTTATGATTTATTTTATTTTTAAAATGTTTTTTGCTTCTTGTTTAGGGCCTTTGTGAATGAAGGTCACGATATGGATAGTATGTATATGTATAAGTACATATGTATGTGGAACTGAAAATAATATACGTATATGGTAAGAAGCTGATGGAATTATAGTTTCACCAGAAAAGTTTCCAAAGATCATAAACCAAAACGTGCATAAGTATTTAAATCAAGGAATGGAAAGAAAATATCGTCCCATTTAGGCGTTATCCTCGTATCTGCAATAGAGTAAGCTCAGTATGAAAATTATTTTATTTTCGTCCACTAGGATACAATAAACGAATTCTATACCTTAAGTTTTTGATTCAACTATTACTATATGGTGAACACTAACTTAAAGTTTTTGTTTTATCTTAAAATAATATTATGCTTAAGCTGCTATTGTTATTGTTATTTTGATGCTGTGTACTATAAGAAATTTGACACTTTTTTGCTGCAAATATAAATTTTGTGTCTCCCTTTAATTTTTTTGGTCTTATCTTACAGCGAAAAAAGTGAATAAGTTCAGATAAAATGATTTACTGCTGATATCGCAACCCTCAAACAGATAGTTTCGCTATCAGCTGTAACCGGCCGTCTTCACGTGCTGGAAAATCTTGCCTGCGTGACGACGCATATGAATAAATTGGCGTTTACACAATATGTAAGTGTATGACCGAGCTTTTATTCCGTTTTGTGGCGTGTGCCTTAATGTTGTGACACAAAGGAGAGGGACCTACAGTTTTAGGCCGACTCCGACAGCTATTAGAAACAACTTTTTTGTTTTCCATACACGAGCGCAGATGTGTATTATAAATTTGTTCACCTAACGGTTGTTTGTAGCAGCCAAAACGAGTNTGCCGTCTTCACGTGCTGGAAAATCTTGCCTGCGTGACGACGCATATGAATAAATTGGCGTTTACACAATATGTAAGTGTATGGCAGAGTTGTTCCTCCGTTTTATGGCGTGTGCCTTAATGTTGTGACACAAAGGAGAGGGACCTACAGTTTTAGGCCGACTCCGACAGCTATTAGAAACAACTTTTTTATTTTCCATACACGAGGGTATTATAAATTTGTTCACCTAACGGTTGTTTGTAGCAGCCAAAACGAGTCGAGATAGATATAGACAAATGTATACATACATAAATGCTCAGAATAAAAAAAGAGATCGACTAAGCCATGTCTGTTCGTCCGTCCTACAGTCCGTATGTCCGTGTTCACGATAACTCGAGAAAAAATTTAGATATGTCAACGAAATTTGGTTGCCCTTCATCCAAGTTAGGTTGCAATTGAAAATGGGCAAAATCGGACAATAACCACGCCCACCACCCATATAACGGTACGATATTTCCACAAATACTGGATATAAATTGTTGAAAGTTGGTTTGCGAAGTAGAAAAAAAAAATAAAAAAATAACTTCCATAATACCAAATTTTCACTGGACATTGAAATTATACCATTTTAAAAATGTCATGTGGTTACGAACTTTCAAAGGTACTGTTTTCTTTAATTCTTCCTTTAATCCTCTCTGTTCTTTACAGCATTCACAGTACTGTGACCACTGACGCAAAATGGACAGTTCACGCAAGCTGGAAAAATTAAATCCTCGACGTCATGCCAATATATTTTCGCAACTACTGTTTGCTTGGGCCATACCATTGCTATATAAAGGTTCTAAGCAAGGTTTAAANTAAGTTAGGTATGAATTGAAAATGGGCAAAATCGCACAATAACCACGCCCACCACCCATATAACCGCACGATATTTCCACAAATACTGGATATAAATTGTTGAAAGTTGGTTTGCGAAGTAGAATTTTGGCATATAAAAGGACAGTTATGAAAAAATAAATTTTGGGTGGGACGAAGATCGCCGGGTCTGCTAGTGTATAAATAATAACTTCCATAATACCAAATTTTCACTGGGCATTGAAATTATACCATTTTAAAAATGTCATGTGGTTACGAACTTTCAAAGGTACTATTTTCTTTAATTCTTCCTTTAATCCTCTCTGTTCTTTACAGCATTCACAGTACTGTGACCACTGACGCAAAATGGACAGTTCACGCAAGCCGGAAAAATTAAATCCTCGACGTCATGCCAATATATTTTCGCAACTACTGTTTGCTTGGGCCATACCATTGCTATATAAAGGTTCTAAGCAAGGTTTAAATACAGATGACTTAACCATGTGCCTACCACAAGATTGTTCAGAAGATTTGGGAGATCGTTTAGAAAAGTAAGTAAAAATACAAAATAGCAAATACACTTAATCAAGAAATTAAGTACATAATCTGTACCTAGCTAGCAGCTAGAAACTCAATCTAACTTAAAGAACAAGGCTGCTGGAACCTGAGGCAATTTGGTCATAGTTAAGTGGGGCTGGAGAAATAAGCAGATTACACCCCTGCTTAATTAGACTTTCAGAAAAACTATCAGTTGGGATTTTGCTCTAGAAGAGACTACAGAAAAGGCCGGGTTAATGTTATATGCATATACATACGCTTTATATTTTAATATCCTCGCAAAAAACTATAAGCCTATTTGAGTGGAAAAGTTTTGTCGAGAGCATATACAATATACAATGTGGTTCATCCATTCTGAATACATCCGACCTAGTTTACGAAGTTATGCTCCAAATGCCATCCACTTCCAATTTTATTTACAGTGTCTGAATCTTTTTATTGCTTCTTTGCATGAAAGCTAATGACGTACTTCTTTCCAAAAAGGACTCTAGGATTCTGCTTGTCAATTGCGGCTAAACGTAAAGAGTATTGTGCAGACAATTTTCTAAACTACTCTCTGTGACCGGAACTCTGATCTTCGTGACATAATCAATACAACTGACACATCATCGGCATTGTTTCCTTTTGAATACCTCAGCAAAACACGTTATGATGGATCTGACTAAAGCTATGTATATCCAAAGTAACCTAGCCAGTCTCAGACCCCAAGTCTCACTAAAGATTCCCCAACACTATCCGAAAACTTTCAGCGCTCTATTTACCTTTAGCTCGGCGTGAGTTTTCCATCTTAGCTTCTTAGAAAGAGTTACCATTTACGCACGGCGATTGTCTTGGACTTAAAGAAAGCCATATGATGACACGAACGTATGTACTTATTTATCTACTTAAGACAGCTTAATTATTTCATGTGGCATTTGTGAAGTGATATCAAGGTATTTGTAAAAATAAATGGTGACACAAGTGGTCAAAATATTCAATGTTGCATACTTAGTGGCGCCAAATTTCTTTTTATCTGCCAAGTAAGTGAATGCAAACGAAAATTAAAAAAAAGGAAGCTTATTTTATGAGAATAATCATTCTTAAATTATATTAAATTCCTACTCTATTACTAATTTAAAATCTCTGATATCCGTCTTTATTCTTTCAGCAATTGGTACAATGAAGTGGAGCGCGCACATCGCAAAGGACGAAAACCATTGCTGCGCAATGCAATACTTCGGACTTTCTGGTTGCCCGCAGTAGTAGATGGCATCATATCGCTCATTTACATCATAATTGCGTAAGTTATGGATAGACCGGTTCACCGCATTAAAACTCTTATATTGGTATGAAGTCCTGACCAAAAATTACAAAGCAAAATAAAATCAAAGTTTTTTTAGATAAAAAAAAAAAAAACAAATAAGATTCAGTGAAAAGTTCACGTTTGGTGTTATTTTAACTTTTTTTTATAGTTAATTGCAGTTTTCTGAATTTTTTTCGGATTTGAGTAGTGCCCTTGCAGCCGTAGCCGAGTGGTAGTAGTAGGAATAGTAGTAGTATTAGTGGTATTCACCANGAAACAAATAAGATTCAGTGAAAAGTTCACGTTTGGTGTTATTTTAACTTTTTTTATAGTTAATTGCAGTTTTCTGAATTTTTTCGGATTTGAGTAGTGCCCTTGCAACCATAGCCGAGTGGTAGTAGTAGGAATAGTAGTAGTATTAGTGGTATTCACCAAATTGAACAAGTAGCCTGGCACTCTGGCAAATGGGCAGATAGCTCAGGCAACGACTGCCAGGCCACTTGCTCACTTTGGTGAATACTACTGGTATTTATTTACAATTACATTTCGGGTCTTAATTATAATTCTTTAACAAATTCAATCACTTTTATTTAAAAAAAAAGTTTTTCTAAATTTTCAAAATATTTGCTTAAAGGGTAAATTTTTAAATGCCGTTGGACGCTTTTAAAAATTCAAGATGGTTTAAATAGGGCGTCTAAACTAACTTTACATTAGATTTTGCCTTACAACTTTTATGCTTCTAGCGAGCTCAATACCAAAGCAGAAAAATTAACAATAAGGTGACCAAAAAAATTAAATCGATCCGCCGTGTACGTACGTTCGAATTTAACTTTTCCTTTATAAATAGTTGCGTTCGACAACACAAAAATTTGTAATAGTTTTTCCTAATTTTTGCAAGTTGGCGTTCGATAACAACAAAAAATTATCCATCACTCAAAAATTTAGAGAGCTAACATTCATTTTGCTGCAAGAGAAACGTTCTTTTTGTGCTGGAAAAGATTTAGCCAGCAAAAATTATCCATCACTAAAATATATGATCTGAAAACGTATGGTTGTAATTTTTGTAAACAAACAAGATTGAATTCTTCGAGTTTTGGTATTTGCTTATTATTTTGATTCACTTGAATAGGCACAAGGATGCGTAGTCTCCTTATGTGTATAGCAAAGTTTTTAAAATTGCACTTAATTCTTGCTGGCTAAAATTTTTCCAGTAAGAATTTGCAACTTCTCTCAGGAGAACTGTCACTTTGCGCTCTCAGTTTTTGAGTGATGGATAATTTGTTAGTCTGCGCAAAAATCATGATAATTCGTACAAATATTTTTGTTCGACGAACATATCTACCTACATATTTCCAGATTCCAAGATTACAAATAATTGCTGCAAAGCAAGCATTAAGGACATTCTTATTACCATTTTCGCATATATTCATACCTTTTTCTTGAATATGCTAGCAAAATTACGCACCGATTCGCACTAGAGGAGCTGTAAAACCGAGGATAACGAAGAAAAGTCGTAATTTTCCAGAGTTCGTCCTATTCACAGGACCTAAACTTAATGGAAAATATTTGTAATTTGATGTTTTGTAAAGTTTGCGTGGTAGACAACCCACGTAATGATTGGCAGTTGTCTTCCGGATAGGGGTTTTTTCCATACATTACAATTAAGGATGTAATATACAATACTAATTGTTGTATAGTAGAATTGAAATGAAACAGTGTGCTTTTGTTGGTTCAATCTAGTCCTTTCCTTATGTTAAAGCCACTGTACCTATTCAAGTGAATCAAAATAATAAGCATAAATAAACTTCGTGTAGTTTGATAAAACGTGGAATAAAATCTTTCTTTGAAATTGATCACTCTTCAATATCAGCTCAAAAATAAACTTCTCCGATGCCCAAAAATACAGATATATATAAGCTCGGCTCTGACGAAAAAATGTGTACCTATTCAAATGAAGTGAGGTGTATTTATGTACATATACATACATATATTTTCATGCTCGAATGTAATTTTCTTTATTTGTATTTCGCAGATCACTTATACCAGCCGTGCTAGCGCAGCTACTGATACAATTCCAAAAACAAAATGCGTCCACTTCAATTCTCACGCCGAATGGTACCACAGACACCGAAGATGTGATAGCAAATGCCACAAGTCGGGCAGCGCCTTCCATTGAGTCAGCCGCCATCAAAAATACTACGTCATTGTTAACGTTGGTCACTGATATTGGTGTGAGTGCAGGCAGTGGCGGAGGTAAGTGTGTCTAGTTGAATAAATATTTAGGCTTAGTAAGGATTAAACAAGTGAACTTTCAAAAGCATATACTCTAATGTACATATTTATGTGAATATGCACACTTATTTGTGTTGTAGATAGGGTAAGATCCCTGGGCCGCCAGACCTATCTTATTTGCTTACATAAAATCCAAAACAGTCTCGCTTAATTGTCCCCAAAATTTGACCACCCACCACACGAAACAAGTACTACGCTTCACGGATATGCGCTTTGAATGTCGGGACCCGTCATTAGAAAGGTGCCTCAAATCAACTGCTGGTTTTCTTAGAGAAATACTAGGCTAACTACCATAGTACAGAAAATAAATAATATAAAAAAAAAATGTTATGTTATGCCAAGTACTAAGCTAAACTCCCCTCCACTTAACCCATTCCAACTAATGTTATTTTAGCTCATTCAACTTACATAAACTATCCTTAATTTTATCGGTTGAATTTCAACCGCTGGGCGAACACTAGTTAAAATAATTCAACGATATTAATAGAAAGGTGCACACACATGCATTTACATAAGC